GCTTCTTCTAGGTCTCTCACATGGGTGCAGGGGCCCAAGGACTTGGGCCATCTTCCACTGCTTTTGCAGGCCATAGCAGAGAGCTGGATCAGTAGAGCAGCTGGGTCTGGAACCTGTGCCCATATGGGATGCTGGCGCTTCAGGCCAGGGCATTAACCCATTGCGCCACAGCGCTGGCCCCAGGTCTCACTGATTTTCATCATCCACATCCTGCAGTGCTTCTGTATTCCGCTCTTCACGATCCCCCTGCATGTCTGAAGTCCATGGTGTCAGATTATCACGGAACAACTGCATGGTAAGCATAGAGTCCATATAGCGTTCTTCACTCAGCATATCCAGTTCTGCAATTGCATCATCAAAAGTGGCTTTTGCCAACCTGCAGGCATGCTCAGGGGAATTGAGGATTTCATAGTAGAATATGGAAAAATTGAGAGCAAGACCTAAATGAATGGGATGCATTGGTGGAAGTTCTGTCATTGCAAGATTGCTAACAGCTTTGTAAGTGATCGGGCTGTTCCTTGCAGCCTGTCATTTCCTGTGGTAACTTCAGGCAGATACCTGCGGTAGACCCCTTTCATTCTCTAATAGGAAACCATGGTCTCGCCAGTGTTAGCTGCTGGAATGAGGTGTTTGTCCAGCACATCCAGAATGTCACAACAAATTAACTTTAGCTCAGTCTCAACCATCTGCCGATACTCCCGGGTCATTTTTAGCTCCTCTTCTCCTCCCTTGTTTTCTTCTTTCTGTTCAGTGCTGCTGAGTATTCTCCAGGAGGCTCTTCTAGCTCCAATCACATTTCTGTACGCAGCAGATGGGAGGTTTTCTTTCTTCAACTGTCAGCTCCACGTCCATCCCTGCTACTTTCTTCATTGATTCCACCATTTCCTCTCCTTGGGGCTCGGGCAGGGTCTGCGCCTCGGCCAGAAGCGGATGAGTCTCTGACTCTCGCTCAGGGTCATTTTAAATTCCAACACTGGAACAGAGGGCATCACCTCATCTTCTCATCCAGGTCCTTACAGGGAATGCTAAACACTGAGAGACTCACACAAAGAAAATTACACAACAGAGCTAAAAACTCAATAGTTTTTTTATTTTAAATTATTTATTTATTTATTTGAAAGAGTTACAGAGAGGCAGAGGCAGAGAGAGAGAGAGAGAGAGAGACCTTCCATCCACTGGTTCACTCCCCAGATGGCCTTAACAGCTGAGCTGTGCTGATCTGAAGCCAGGAGACTGGAGCTTCCTCTGGGTCTCCCACGTGAGTGCGGGAACCCAAGCATTTGGGCCATCTTCTGCTGTTTTCTCAGGCACATTAGCAGGGAGCTGAATTGGAAGTGGAGCAGCCGGGACTCGAACTGGCACCCATATGGGATGCCAGTGCTACAGGAGGTGGCAGTTTTACCTGCTAGGACACCCACAGTGCCAGCCCAGACTGACATAAACTAATGTTGTTGTACTTTGAATGTTCTATTCAGAGACAGGGAGATAATCTCAGAGAAAATTTCCATATAAAATTATTTGAATTTAAATTTTTTTTATTTATATTTGTTTGAAAGTTGGCACAGGGAGGAGGGGATATCTGTCTATTCGTCTGTCTGTCTATCTATCTTTCTACTGAGAGATTTTTCATCTGCTGGTTTACTCCCCAGATGCCCACAACAGTCAGGACTGAGCTAGGCCAGGTCAAAACCAGGAGCCAGGAACTCCATCCTGGTTTCCTTGTGAGTATCAAGTACCCAAGCATTTGGGCCATCTTCTGCTGCTTTCCAGGCTCCTTGACAGGAAGTTGGATCAGAAGTGGGTAGCTGAGGCTCTATCTAACGCTCTGATCTGGAATGTGGACATTCCAGGGGGTGGCTTAGCCTATTGTGCCACAATGCCTATCCCCAAAGAGTCCTTTTTAAAATAGATACAATTCTATAATACTTATGAATGAACCAGAATACTTATGAATGATGTCTGGCATTTGTTTTAAACTTACCCGGGAATGAAAGGAATTGGGTGAGGTTTGAGATAGGGATGAAACAAGATTAGTATGAGTTAATACATTTTGCAACTAGGTGATGAGATTTGATTCTAAGTCCCCTCGATTCCAAACACTGCTAGTAGGTGAAAGTTGCAAACATCACCAATGATAATACTGAATTTGTCGGTCTTATCTGAGTGAAGTAGCGATGTTCTTTTCTAGTTGTATCTGAGTATTTATCCTTAACGTAATTGCATTCGTGATTTTGTATTATTTGTCTTAAAATAGCACCTCTAAGTTGCATTTCAAGCATCATTAAAACCTCGACCCACCCTGGTACCCACCCCACTCGCTTGGTCCCATTTTCATACTGAACTATGTTTGTCTTTCTGCAGCGAGTTTATGGAGCTTCCAGAAGGCCTTCTAGTTCCTCTCCTGACTTGAGAGGAAACAGGGGCTCACTCTGGAAAGTTAGTTTGGGGTGTAAATCCCAGCAGATCCTGCTGATGTATGCCAGCGTTCTCTTGCTTTCCTTGTCTTATGGGGGTGGGGTAGGGGAAGGTACTGTGTTAGCACAGCTTTCATCTTTGCTCATCTGAGACACATGATTGAGTCTAAGCCACGTTGCTGGACATGAGAACTGGCTCCTTCATATGCTATGCACACCCACCCATCCACTAATGCCAGTTATCTTGATGGTGGGGGCACACGTCCTGCCAGCTCAATGAGATTTAGTGTCTCCTTTCCAAGTCTCCTCCTTAGTGGAGGCCCGTGGCATGTAGCATTCAGACTCCAGCCTTCCATTAGTGGAGAGCCTAGCTACTATGTCTGCAGTTTGAGAGGACACAAGGGGCTCTCAGAAAACTGGTAGTCCATGGTGTTTCCTACTAGGACACAGGTGCATTCATACATAGACACTTTTTTATTTTAAGAATTATTTTCATTTATTTGAAAGACAGTTACAGAGAGAGGACGAACCAGAGAGAGAGAGAGAGAGAGAGAGAGAGGTCTTCCATTCCGCTGGTTCACTCCCCAAATGACCACAATGGCAAAAGGTGAGCTGATCTGAAGCTAGCAGCCAGGAGTTCTTTCTGGGTCTCCCACGTGGGTGCAGGGGCCCAAGGACTTGGGCCATCTTCTGCTTTCCCAGGCCATAGCATAGAGTTGGATCAGAAGAGGAGCAGTCAGGACACTTAACTGGCACCCATGTGGGATGCCGGCGCTGCAGGCTGGGGCATTAACCCACTGTGCCACAGCGCCGGCCCCCACACATAGATTCCTGCAGTCTCTGAACTATGTTATAACCATTGCTGGACTGTCCTCAATGCAAGTAGGCCTTGGGTATAGTAACTATTGTTTGAATTGAAAATTAAGAAAAGCAGTGGGAAATTTTCAGGTGTCCCTGGGAGGTTTATAGAAATATATACTTACATTCTGAAGTGCCTGAAAAGTCTGGATATTATAGAGTAGTCTTTCGTTGTTTTGAATGTCTCAGGTTGCTGTACACTTTGAATTCGTTAAGCTGCCTTTTCCATTTCCTCTGTTCCCTTGCTGTTAGATTAGCCATGGTCATTTCTTTCTGTTGTCTATGAGGCTGCCAGCTGTTTGTCTAGAAACAGAATTTTCATGTTATTCATAGCATAGGTAGTGGTCTTGAGAGTGAGAGTGAAGGTGGGCTGTTTGTATAGAAATCTCAGATCTCCTACATAAGAGCCATGTAATCTTGTACAAATGACTTCACCTTTCATCTCTCTGGTCCCCCTTGTGTGTGAAATGTTGGATAATAATGGTACCTACCTTGTGAGGCTGTCAGGAAGACTGAGTGAAATAAAAATGCTTAACAGGATGTGTCAATAATTGTAGGTATATGAGTTGGTGTTTTCGTGTAGCAGGTTAAGCCACCATTTGTGAAGCTGGTATCTCTTATTAGAGCACCAGTTTAAGTCCCAGCTGCTTCCAGTCCAGCTTCCCTGCTTAGGTGCCTAGAAAGGCAGTGAATGATGGCCCAAGTACTTGAGCCCCTGCTACCCATGTGGCTCCTGGCATCAGCCTGGACCTGTCCTGGTTGTTTGTGATCTTTGGGTCGTGAACCCGAAATAAATAAATAAATAAATAAATAAATATCTTTAAAAGTAGTAAGTACTCAATAAATATTATTGTCATTTTCTCATTTATTATTTTAAATTTGTTAAAGATTTGAAAACCAGTTAAAAATACAACCTTATTAAACTCCAAACTAATATAAAATTAAATGGTGTTTGAATGCCTAACCAAAAGGCCTAATAGTGAACTGTTTAAGCATTAGTGCAGCTTTCTGTTTCAGGCAGGAAAAAGCTTTAAGGAGGCATCGTTCTGCTAAGAAAGGCTGATTACATGACCTGCTTCCTCTGATTAAAAGATTCTTGACTCTGATTGTTGAATTGGACACAGAATTTTCATATTATTTATTCAAAAGCATTCTTTTAAAAATGATTATTTGAGTGGTGTAGCAGTGGGAGTGGGGGGATGGGGCGGGGGAGTTTTCGTCTACTGGTTCACTTGCCAAACACCCACAATGGCTGAGCCAAAGCCTGGTTTCTCACGTGGGTTTCAGGGACAGAACTCCCTGAGCCACCACCCACTGCTTCCCAGGTGTGCATTAGCAGGTGACCGGAATTGGGAGCTGGAGGGCACTCACCCCTGGACACTTCCATATGGGATGTGAGTGTGTTTACCTCTAGGCCAGATGCACACTGCCTCCAAATATTCCTTACTTTAAATCTTTATGATGATGATACAAATGATTAAAATGCCTTACTCAGAAATATGCACAGATAACCCATAAGTAGCTATATTAAACAGTCTCTCTAGTTCAGATGCTGATCATTAATGTCCTACATCCTGGAATTGTTGAAGTCACTTAGTAGTGGGTCAAGGAAGTGTCTCTTGCCTCATTCAGTTTAATTTCATGTCTTTCATCAGCCTGGAGTTCCCTGCCTTCAGCAGCTTGGTCCAGTAATACTAGCTCTCCTTTTCTCTTGCGCATCCACAACAGACTCACGTAATACTCAAGCTGTCAGATATCATGGCCCGTGAACTCATTCTGAGACGATGACTTCAGCTGGGCGTGAGTGCAGATTATGATACCCAGCACATAGTGGCCTCTCAGTAGGTATTTATTAAATAAACAAATGACTGGGGGTGGGAGTTTGGTGCAGTAGTCAAGATGCCATGTGGGGTGCCCCCTTCCATATGTCGGCGCCTGGCTGGAGGCCTGGCTTCTCTGCTTCTGATCCAGCTTCCTGGTTATGCGCATCCCAGAAGGGAGCAGATATTGGCTTGAGTACTTGGGTGCCTGCTGTCCATGTGGGAGGCTCAGCTGGCCTTCCAGTCACTGGGCCTCGGTCTGGCCCAGCTCTGACTGTTGCAGGCTCAAATAAAAATGAACATAAAATAAAATAAGAAAAAAAAAATGATTGCTTTGGTTTTCAGTGGGAAGAGGATAATGCACATCTTCTAGAAAACCTTCCCCCAAACTTCACGGTAATCATTGACTCTAAACTCTGTTTGCTGTGTCACAACATTGGCCAGAACTTACATTGTTTGCTGTACCCACAAAGCTATACATACCTGAGGCCAAATATAAGCAAATTGTGAGACTTGTTCTGGTGGGTCAGAGGTGTTTTGTGCTTGGTCTGACTGGAAGGGTAACGTTGCTGAACTCTTATTTGTCTACCGTCAATCTTTTAGACTGCCTTTTTCTTACAAAGTCTTAAGTTTGCAAGCGTTAAAAGCATGAATAGTGCTGTTGTTTTTATTTTTTTAACTAAAGATTATAATATGCTTTCAAACACTTCCTAAAGAAAAAAGGTACACTTAAGAAATAAGTGGCCTAAGTCAGGTCTAACTTCAAAACAAGCTTAAAGGTTTGCCTTGAGTGAAAAAATGTAAAATTTAGTTGCTCCATCTAGTGGTGAACCGTTATATGGTTTTTGTGAAGAAATTTTAGTTTTTCTTGTGGAAGATTTTAATCTGGTAAAGTATGAGAAGTGTTTAATATGTTTATCATCCTATTTTAAATGAAGAGAAAATTATTCCACTTAAAACGACAACATTACTATGTAATTAATCTAAATGGATTTAAGGATGTATCTGCAACCTGCGCAAATTTCAAATGCTTATTTCATCCTCAGTCAGTCTAGAAATGAGCATCAACACTGATATCTATCTCTAGACCTAATTTCTGTACAGCATCTCGAAAATATAAGAAAATTTAGGCCTGGTCTAAATTGGTAGAAGAGGAATGCTAGAGAGATCAGGGTTTCTACAGCTAACAATGTGGGTTGTTTTTCAACCCAGTCCTTAATAAGTCTGAAAAATCCTGAGCTGTGTACAAAACATCAACTTAGTAAAAATATATTTAGCAATCAGATTATATGTTTACCTGAGTGTAATAAATGACTGTGGTTAACAATGGGCTCTCAGCCAGGCTACTTGGGTTCAAGTTCTAGAAAGTACTTATTAGTTGGTGACCTTCGTGTCTTGTTTTCTTCATCTATAAAATGAAAACAATACTACCTCTTTCAGAGTTGTGATGCTAAATTGGATACTGCATGGAAAGCACTCCAACAGTAGGTAGAACAGAGTAAATAGTCAGTATGCTTTTGTTAGTGTCATTACTGGCTTCGTTTTCATGTATTTGTGGATTTTTGGAGTGCTGATTTGATGTACAATTGAGTCATGCCAAGTAATCAGGTATCCGATTGGCAAGTCATTAGGGTCTCTTTCTTCTCTGAGTTAGGTGTTTCTAATTCGGGAGGGACCATTCATGGCAACATCTTAAGTATAACGGCAACCCAGATCCCCTTCTGCAACTTACTTATAGGGCCAGTCGTTGGCTTCCCAAATGCAGCTTTCTTTCTGGGAATTACTCAGCTGGAAAGCAGGGAAGGTATGTTTGCTCCTGGGCATACCTGAGGTTTATTTCCTCTTTCCAATTTCAAATCATAGTTTGGCTTTAGTGCTTCAAGATAGCAAAGTTTGATAAGAATAAGTGGAAAAGCATATTTCATGAATCTACTTGCACACATATGCTAGGAGAACAGCCCACTGAGCCGACCACGTTGGGCTACAGTTTTCCTAGTCCTTAGAAGTGTATATATATGACAATAACTCCCCTTTCTAGGCTCTAACTGCAGATTTCCATAAACATACGTGAGAGTGCTTGAAAGCAGGGACCATGAAGCTGGAACGCCTGGTTTAAATCTTTGCTCCATCAATTACCGGTTAAAAAACATTGGACAGATTAGTGGCCTCTGTGAACCTTTGTTTATTCACTTGTAAAAGGGAAATAAGAGACCCTATCTCAACAGTTGTTCTGCAAATTAAATGAACTGGCGTGTATAAGCACTTAGAACAGGCCTGCAGTATAGAAAGTGCTATGGAAGGGTTCTTGTTGCTAAGTTATTGTATGTGGATTCCCATTATTCTGTGGAGCATGAAATGCTGTATCCAAATTCATCCTATCACAGGGAGAGACTTATTCTTTCACTTTACCTTTTTGTGACGTTTTCCTATATTTTCCTTTCTCAATTATGGACTTGAATTTTCTTTGCCACATTCTAGTCTGTTGCTTCCAGTTTTTCTTCTTAGATGATATCTATCATCCACTTAGGAAACTCTTTTTCCCTGAAAATACACTTTTCTCTAACTCTTTCATTTCCTACCTGGGAATTTCTCCAGAACATGAACTCTTTATTCTTTGTATGTTTCTGATGCTTTGCATGGAGATAGACATACAATAGGTGCTCCAAAGACACATGTGCATAAAATAAAATTGTCTCTTGAAATCTGCAAGGGCAGATTGGTTCCAGGCCTCTCTTTTAGTACTTAAATCTGTGGATGCTCCAGTCCTTTATATAAAATGACATAGCATTTGCATGTAACATGTGAATATAATCCTGCATACCTTACTCATGTCTGGATGACTTAGAAGGCCCAATACAACATAAAGGCTATGTAACCAATTGTTATACTGTATTGTTTAGGGAATAATGATGGGCAAAAAAGGTTTAAAGGATGTTTAGTATAGTGGCAAATTCAAATTGATTTATTTGAAATATCTGAATTCTTAAAAAAAAAAGAAAATGAAATTATTATGTCACAGGGAAATCTGCACTTTCTTGTTCTTTGCAACATTATTCACAAAAGCTAAGACATGAAAACAACAAAAGTGTCCATCAGTGCATAAATGGATAAAGTGTATGGTGTATATTCACAATGGAACACTACTCGGCCTTAAAGAAGAAGAAAATTCTATCATTTATGACAACAGGAACAACAAAAGTGTCTCTGGAAGACATTGTGTTAAATGAAACAAACCAGACACAGTGAGACAAATGCCACTTGATCTCACTCATCTGTGGAACCTAGAAAAAGTTGAACTTGTAGAGGTAGAGAGCAGAATGGTTGTTAACAATGTGTGGGGGGTTGACGAGATGTAGATCAAAGAATACAAAACCTCTGTGAGATAGGAGGAATAAGTCCAAGAGATCTATTGTGCAGTGTGGTGACTATAGTTAACAGCAATCTATTGTATTCTGTGCAAAGGTGAGCTCTAAATATTTGTCACCAGCCTAGGGGCTGCATGGCCAGGATCAGAAGCCCAGGCTGATACATCAACAGAAAAGTTGTGCAGAATTTTTACTCTTGTTTTTAGTGCTAGATTTGATTGCAACCCTGGCCCTTGATAATTCCTATCATTTCCAAACTCAAGCAAGCACTTGACTTTAATTCCTCCCTGTCTCTTTAGGGTTCTTCAATATGCATTTTTTTTTTTTTTGACAGGCAGAGTGGATAGTGAGAGAGAGAGAGAGAGAGAGAAAGGTCTTCCTTTGCCGTTGGTTCACTCTCCAATGGCTGCCGCGGCCAGCGCGCTGCGGCCGGCGCATGCGCTGATCCGATGGCAGGAGCCAGGTACTTATCGTCTCCCATGGGGTGCAGGGCCCAAGTACTTGGGCCATCCTCCACTGCACTCCCTGGCCACAGCAGAGAGCTGGCCTGGAAGAGGGGCAACTGGGACAGAATCCGGCGCCCAGACTGGAACTAGAACCCAGTGAGGAAAGACAGCTGTGCATAGTAATTCATTCAGTGGGGTGAAACACTGAGTAGAAATAATAGTCTTTTAGGAGGTAAAATGCAGCGGGACTGGCATTGTGGTGCAGCGGGTTAAGCCACTATCTGCAATGCTGGCATCATTTTGGGTGCCATTTCAAGTCCTGGCTGTGCCACTTCCCATCCAGCTCCCTGATCTGGATGAAGCTCCTGGCTTCTGGTTGCAGCCATCTGTGGAATGAACCAACGAATGGAAGATACTTTCTCTCTCTCTCTCTCTCCTCTCTCCCCTCCCCCCATAGCTCTGACTTTCAAATACGTAAATAACCCTTGTTTTTCTTAAAGAGGCAAAAATGTAGCAAAAACTCCATTGAGAGACAGAGAGAGAGAAAGAGAGAGAATGATCCTGATTCTAGCCACCAGCAGTTGACTTTCTTCTAATCTTAATTCTGTAACTGCCAAGGCTAGACTCCAAGCTTTGAGAGGGCAAGGACCTTGTCTGTCTTGTCACAGCATTTTCCACAGGTTCTAGCACATGGCCTTAATGCAAAGTAGGTGTTCAATAAACACATGTTAATTAATTCTTGATGTTTCAAATTGGATGTCATCTTGGTACCCCAAATTTAGAATCTCCAAATGTGAATGTGTCTCTAAATCAGTTCCCTTCTGAGCATCCCTGTTTCTATAAGTGGCATTGTTATTTTCTCATTCACACAGGCTTGGAAGCTTCAAACTGTTTCCCATCCTGTCAGTCACAAGATCCTGTTAATCCCTGTGAATAATGTCAACTTGAACCTCTCTGTCCTTGCCACCCCTTATATCACCCCAGCTTAAGTCCCTCTGACTTCAGGCCACTGAGACTATTGCAATAGTTATAATAGGCTGCTTTACTCTTTTCCTCTGGTCTTGTGTATTTCCCTTCCTAATTTATTTTCCTTTTTACAGAAAAAGAAGTTTTTTTAAAAAATTACAAATTTTGTTTTATTTTCATGTTTTGAAAGGCAGAGAAATGGAGGGAAAGGAGACAGAGATAGATAGATACAAATTTTCTTTGT